TTCACATAGTAAGAAAAATGGCTTAGTCTTGATCATTTATCTGTATTATTAATATTAAGCATTATTTTTTTTTTCTCCTTTATAGTGGCGAAAACCGCTCCAATGCTGACCGCGAGGATAAAACGGATCGCTCCGGGACTAGTCGTGCTGGCAAATCATGCGATTTTTTATATTGGGTATGTCTCATTCGGTTATGAAAAGTTAACAATCTAATTCTAACATAGGGCTCTATATATAGGGCTCGTCTCGAGAAGCTGGCAATGGTGAGAATAGCGGGCCAACTCACAAGGATAACCATGACAAGTCGAAGATAAACTTCGTTGATACGATCAAAGTTTCCAGAGTACAGCATATCGAACTTGAGCTTCAAATTATCGAACAGAGCGGGAAAAATCCTCTGCCGGAGTGTCTACAAAAAGCAATGACGTCAATATTGATACCATTTTTTCATATAGTCGGAATGAGAATTCGGTTCTATCTTCTTTTCCAAATCAGTGGAGATCTGTACGGAGTTTGGGATTGGGCCTCGGAGTACTTACCAACGAAAGATACAGACGTGGGAGAAGTTGCTCTACTATGTAAAAGATTTTTGGTTTACGGGGTACTTTGATTTTTTGATCAGTTTGCTTTGAGTTATCAAGCTTTTACTAATAAAGTTTAATAGAATCTTGTAGAACGTGTAGGACGGATGTCAACCATTCTTGCTAAGAGGTCTAAAACCTTCAAAGACAAAAAAATAGTGAGTCTTCCAAACCAACTGTAGAGCTAAATAAATTGCGAATCCTCATAAAGAAGGCAAAGACGGCGGAGTAAGATTGCTACGTATATCTTGCGTAGTTATTTTGTACTGCGGGATGTAAAAAATTAATGGTTTGTCCTTACGAAAAAAATAATACACAAGGCATTTAAAGTTTTATATTTATTCTATAAGACCCAATTCTCAAAGATGCTCTGGAATAACTATATATGGGTCTTCGTAATACCAGACATATCTTAAAACAATATAGTTTTCTTCGCACAATTCTTTCTTAAGTCGATCCCGTGTCTGCTGTTAATAAAATTATTAGGATCACCTCTATGAAGAATTTGATATATTTTTCGTGTTCTTGCGCTTCGATTGCAAAGCCATATTCTGTATAATAAATATCAAGTTGTAGACCTCGTGGGTATTCAGAAGTTTTAAGAAAGACAGGTTGACATATATTGGATGGATAACCAAGATATTTAGTAATGATTTCAAGACATAATTTTTCACGTTTATAATATTGACAGATTATATCTCCAACGCTGTATAATGAATATTATTTATAATGTGGCATGAGGGTTGTACATGACGCGATGTTAGATTAGTAGACATTATATAACAGTAGAATAGAATTGCAAAAATGGCAGTTAATAAATTGCACTTGCGCAAAGATAATAAATTTAACTAAATTGGACATTTGTCGATCCAGGAGAAGACTTGTGGCAAAAGATTAGAAATTGGGCAAATAGTGAAGTTTGTAATGACTTTGCTAAATCGTATATGACTCAAGGAGAACATCAAGACTCAACTACCTTATTGTTACACTAGTACTGGTCCCGGATTTGCGAAAGAATCGATAACGATAAAATTTCGTGGTGACTATGAGACACTACAAGAAGCGACTCTCATTTACCCCACGATAAAGTTCGTGTATACTGTAAGGGATAAAATAAAAAGAGTTATATTCGTGTACCTCTATCAGGTGCCACGATAAAGTGGCAATAAGGGCACAATGAAAAGACAATGCGGGTATAGAAGATCATACGCACAGCGTAACAACAACGATACTGTAATATGTCACGTAACCGATCTACGCTGGATAGCGCGAGATCTGATCTGGCACGAACAGTGATTGAGAAATGTATAAATGAGGGAGAAAATGTCAAATTAATATAGTACGTGTTAGAAGTGACGCCTCAAATCACCTACTTATCTGTCTTTAATCACCAGTAACGGTTACGACAGACTCGACGTTTGCCCGTTACAATACAAAAGTAAAAAAAACCCTTTGATTAATAACCACCAATTACGTCGAAAAACATATTCACCGAAACAAGATGTTGCTTTCTTCGGAAACTTGTGCAAGAATCTGTGATACGTCCGTGAGCAGGCTAATATAATTATCATCAGATACGTCTTACCTGGAATGATGAACATGACAACGAAAAAAGCTTTGTACTTGCCTTCCTGCATTATTTGTGTCGTGTCTCTAAAAATTGAAAAAACATATAGGCATGATGAACCCATCGAATTACACCCCAGACCTGCCGTATAGATAACCTAATGGAGAGATTGTCAATGCCGCCTAAAGATAACCGGTCGGATTTTGTAAAAGGAAAGGTTGGGGAACTAGAGCAAACAAAAAAGACAAGTACTAGCGAAAATATTTTAAAAATTTAAAAATTATTTATTACGAAAATTTATTGATAACACTTCATAAATTTTTTATATTAACACTTCTATATTAATTTATGATTACATAGTAAAAATTTTTTATTAGACATAGTAGAATGAAGACAATAAATAAATATTCATAAAACACTGATAATTATATATACAAAATAAATTTTTTATTCCAACGAATATTATGGTGTTTGGCGCTCCTTTCAAATGGACTTCGCTCACTTTATCCCTTTTCTCAAAAAAAACAACTTTTTCATAATGTATAGACAGGTCTCCACGTTGATTTGTATGCCGACTAGAGGTAATGGACTTTTGGATCGAGGTATTTAATCATAGCTCTACTCGGGATTGTA